TTTGTCTGGGGCGCTGGGCTAGCTGTCTCCTAATTCTGCCTTTTTTTGCCCTCAGTGTCTTTTAATATGTTTCAGTTCCCCAGTACGGTGTGTGTGTGAGTGTGTGTGTGTGTGTGTATGTATGTGTGAAAAGGATAATCAGACCCTGTATGAGTGTGATTGAGGGTGCAGCTGTAGAGGCCGCCACCTCCCTCCCTCCTCCCCCCTGCCTTGCCCTCCCCTCTCTGTGTCATACGCTCTTTCATACGCACTCTCTTTCATTTTCTCTTTCATTTCTCTCCCTCACTCTTTCTGCTCACCCCCTCACCCCTGTACTCCCCCCTCCTCTTCCCACCCCGTGTAATGAGCTGACACACAGGAAGCTCTAATCCTCACACAATGCTACCCCTCTTCCCCCCAGAGTGACTGGGAGCGGGACAGGGGGCAACAGGGACCAACCTGGCCCAGCTGTCCCCAAAATGGCTGCCTTTAATCCCTCCAGTTTTTAGCCTTCAGGGGCTCCTGAAACCATGACAACCGGTAACCAAGGAAAAGAATGCTCAGGGCAGGGAGCGGGACAAAAGAAGTGAAAGGAGCCATGTGTGAGAAGTTTGTCCACATGCGTTCGTGGGCGACAAGGGACGTGTCTCAATCAAAAAAAAAAAGAAAGAGAAAGAAGAAAGAAAAGTCGTTTTAATAGTTTTCAGTTTAAGGAAAGACCCAGGGAGTGGCAGTGAATACAACAGTCCACAGGTGTGATGGTGATGGTTGCAGGCTTTAATCACATGTAACACATTTCTCACTTATCAATGAGCATTAATCAACTCTCTGTAGACATCAATCTTCTTCAGCAGGAAGGACAAAAGTTTTGGAAGTGTTAAAGGTCATGTAATATGCATATTTGGTCTACAATTAAAAAAGAATCAACAGCTATTTGAGAGACAAAGATGTTGTTTATCCCAGAATTAAGGTGATTTCAGTAATTACAGCTGCCAATTAAGTACAATGTAACTCCACCCCTAGACTAACTATAGACAAAGAAGTGTCATGTTAATTGTAGTCCATTTTTCCCACAATTTGCTTATTAGATACTTTTTAAAATATGTGTTTATAAAGCAAAATCAGTAAAACATACAAATGGGTGTATCGGAAAACCCTAACTTTAGTCCCCCTATTAAGCATTCATAAGCAGCATAGAAACATTTAATAAATAAGCTTTGTAACACTTCTGTAGTGTTTATTAATGTATTTGTCAACAACTATAAATCCTCCTGTGGGCACCCATAAGTGGTAACTGCTATATGAACAGATAATTAATTACAATGTAGTAAAATACAAAAAAGTGTAATGCTGCACACTGTGTCTTCATAAGAGACATTAGTAACTTATAAATGTATAAACGTCCTCATAGTTGGGTACAACTACATTATAGTGTGTTATAATATATATATTTGTGTACTGCTTAAAATGCTACTAAAGTGTTAACAATATCTGGCTTCAGGTGATCTTTAAAATTTTTGTTTAGTTATTTTGTTTTGTTAATGAGTTAATAAAGTTTTATTGAGTCTGTTGGGACAAACCAGACCTTTCTATTATGAGTTTTAAAAGGACACACAAATATCTCAACAAAAGTAACACTCATCTCAACATTATTCTGCTTGTTAATAATAGCATTTGTTTACTGTTTTAATCAGTCTATCTGTGTGTGTGCTATAACTCTTATTGTGATGTCCATGTATTGTTGTCAGGTCTCTCTTATAAAAGCCAACTTGATCTCAATGAAACTTCTTGAGTAAATAAAACCAGACTAAACTAAAACTACACGTTTAATCCAATTTTACCACATTGTAGGATGTTACATCACCCTCAGTGGGTGCTTAAAAAAGGCCTGCTGGAGTCAGAATAAACTACACTTGAGAGTCACTCTTTTGTCCTTCAGTATTGTTTAAATCCACAAGAGGGAGCTATGGTCTATAGTTTGGCTCATCCATCAAACAAGTAAGATTTGACTGCACATAATATACATAATATTCAGTTTGCATTACTTTACACTTTATTACATCATTATTATTGTTACAGAAATAATAAAAATTACAGAAATAATAAACATCACGCTTGATTTTATTTAATCTTAATGTATACTAGGTCTATTAGTATCAACATTTTGTTACTTTATAAACGTTTTGGTTGAGACATATTCAACTTTTTTTAAGCAAGTTCGCATTTTATTAAGATTTACACATTTTCTCACACATCTAGTCTACACTCATACATTTTTAGACCCTATTAACAATCACTGTGTGGACCTAAAGTGTGTCTTTGGTACCTAATAGTGAGTTTACAACCCGCATGTTATATTTATTATGATATATATCAATATATATCTATTCCTAAACTCCCTGCCTGTTGCTGTATTTTCACTGTTCACATTTATCAAAGGACTACCGGTAATAGTTCAGTTCCTGTCATGATAACACCTGTTTGATGAGCGGGATGATTTAATTAAAACCATATACCTTCCCAGCGAAACTCACTCAGGAGATACAATGCGAGGCAATTAACCCTCGACCCCCCCACCCTCCTGCCTCCCTCCCTCCCCTCCCCTCCCTCCTCTCCCCGCTGTGCTACTGATCCCTATCTCTGCTTTACACATACTGCTGCTCGTTGTCTCTGCAGATTTGCGTTTGGCGGTTTTGGCTGTCGACACGCTAAAGGAGGCTGCGGCTTATTTCTTCAGGCTGAACTGTAAGGAGCGTCTGCGGGACGTCCACTACCTGCAGGCTCAGCTGCACCGCTCTCTGGGTCAAACCTCGCAGTGCAACAAAAGCGCCATGCTCTTCCGGCTGCTGGACCAGGAGCTGCAGTCGCCGGCGCCACCGGTCTCCATGCGGCTCTGACCTGCAAAGTGGAGTTATCTTCTGCTGGGAAACAGACACAACACCTCCTCCTGAGGCACCACTAGATGGCAGTGGCGATCTGTGCTGCTCTGGAGTGTGTGTTTATATTTTGAAGCAGAGAGCAACAGTGGAAGAGGCAGGATGATAATGAGAGAGGACAATGTCGGTAGTCATAAATGAGGGTGAGTTTCCAGTACACCGAGAGTAGGTCAATTGTCTCTTCACAGGTACAGATTTGAATGATGGCTGATGTTAAATATAACATGTGGTTTAACAGCTTCCACACGGCAACAGTCCGGCCCTGTTGGGCAACGCGACGGCAGCAGAAACATCCAAAGTTTATCAGGAGCTGTCCGTTTTTGTTTTTTTTACCCTCCACTTTTTGATGAATGAGGGTAATATCACAGTTAGTGACAAGATGAATGTGTTTCAGTGGCCCGGATGATTCATATTTTACCAGAAGAATACTAATGGAGCTGGAATCCGAGGAGGAAATTGTGATCACATTTATAATGCAATAGAGCCGCGATGACTTAACAGCAGATACTGTGTCTGTAGTCCACTTCCAGAGAACAATTTCAGCCCGATAACGTTGCACCGAGGTGTCCTGTCGGGCCTGTCATCCATTACTCACTGCACTTCTTTCAAGAAAATAAACATCTTGTTTCATCTCAATCAGTTCTCAGTTGATTTGACACAAGTATTTGGGTTCATTGTGAGAGGAATATCTCTATCTCTATTTCAGTTCAGCTACAGTTTAAACTTTATACTCTGATATTTCATAGTGTGTCTGATTGGAGTCCTCGGGGGCGGCTGACTGCAAATTCCTCTCGCTTATTTACCATCTGCGCCGGCCCCCTCGAAGCCTCCTGTTTGGTTAGAAGTGCCACGTTTGGCTTCATGTCGTTAACCGCATAAACAGATAAATTACAGTGACACATTGTAAAGAAACAGACCTGTTCTTTATGTAAATACTGCACCCTGCTCTCTGTCACAGCCGGGGCAGTTGTGATATGGTTTCAGGCACGAGCAGCTAAGACCTGTATTTACATGTTCGTCCGACAGCCGGTTAGAGTCTGTGAGCCACTTCGTTCGCATGGTCGGTTCAGGAGGAACTAATGCTCTGTAGAAAACGCTATAAAAGGAGTATGTGTGTGTTCACTGTGTGCAGGGTTGAGCGTGCGGAGGTCAGTTTGTGCTTTTACCTAAAGCAGCGTTCGCCAACCACTCGCCGGTGGCTTCTTGTGGCTTTCGACAAAAGATTGTATGGACGTTTTAATTTAATTTATTTTGGATCTAAATTGATTCTTGCGATCTCCAACTGTCCAACATTTCTTAAACTACACTGACTTTATATGTTACATCCTGACCTGCTGCTTTTACCTGCCAAACATTAGATCTCATCCTCAGTTATGTTGTTCCCATATTTAACTATTTATGCCAACAAACACTCATTTTCTTTTTAATTTTATATCAAAATCCAATCATTGTGTCTTCCTTCAGCCCAAAACCAACCATAAAAACACCTCCAGTACAGATTTATTTGGTTTTTGACTCTTATAGTAAAGAAATTAAGTCTAAATTAGAAACATTACTAATGTCTAAACGACGATGCATTGGCCTCATGTTTTACTGCAGTTTATGATTATTTGTCAATTCTCTTACAATAATAACATGTTTTGTTGATCATTGAAGAAGTTTATTAGAACTGACTAAACAATTAAGAAAAACTGTTGACATCTCTTGTATTTGTGTTCCCATTACCCAACAAAAAAGTCTGTTTGGGTTTTGGGAGGTTTTTCAATATTAATCATGTTGAGGTTATAAAAATGACCTTCTGGTGGGAGACATCTTCAATCTATCACCCTTTTCAGCCTGGGACGCCAGTAAACCTTTTACAGCTGTAAGTCCAGCTCAGTTATTTATATATGTGTACATATATATATA